GGCTATCCATTGTTATAGAGTAGGTATTGAATGAAATTGAGCACATAAATTGTGTGAGGCATATACATGCCAATTGGAGCAAAAGTCACATAAATATGATCTTGAAGAGATTATTCTGGAAGGCTGAAAAGTCCACATCACAAGAAGAACTTCAAGAAAGCATAAAAGAGATGGAGAAAGTTGATTCTCAAACTGCCTTAGATTTACAAAAATACCTATTTCAGTTTTGGTGTAAGGTATTGTTTAGAATGCGTGTGAAGTTTGATTTGTGCGATAGTAATCATTGTGAAGTCTTCAATAGTACCCTCCAAAGATGCAAACCAAACTCTTTACTTCCAATGTTAGAGGATATTAGAGTGAGAACGATGAAGAGAATTTCCAATAAAAAAGGTAGTGCAAAAATGGCCAAGTATTTTTCCTTTAATGCATACTAATGAAGTTTTTTGACATGTGTTGTGGGTTTTCCAGGAAATTTTGGTTCCGTTATAACAAACAAGCTCAATAAGAATATCAATGTGTGTTCTGGGTGCCATGTTGATTTCAATGGTTACAAATTTACAATGAATATGAGATCAAGAATGGAATACATCAGTTCACTGCCAGGCTTGAAATGCAAATCATGTAATTGCAAAAGGTAGGATGTTTCAGGTACCCTTATGAATATGCTGCTAAAGTGTATAAAAATGCCCAAAATGGACAAAATATTTGAGGAACAATAGTGTTTGGATTGTTATTTAAGGCATACCATCTTGTGCAATGCAATTTATACCATCTTAGACAATGGGCAAAACTCAGAGGTATTTATGGATAAATGTTACTCTAAGAAAATGTATGAGAAAACATACTCTCATACTCTACAATGTATCATTGGTGGGATATTCCGGCCCTCAGTTAATAGAGCATGAGAAAATCTTGAGCCTTTACCAAAAACAATGAGAGGAAGGCAAAAAAATAGAATATGTGAAGAAAGTGAGCCTCCCTCAAAATCCCAATTGTCAAGTAATGGTAGAGTAATATCATGCACAATATGTAAGGAGGCTGGTCATAACAGATTGTGTTATCCAAGAAGCATTGCACCTACTCCAACTACAAAAGGAAGAGGAAGAGGATAGGGGAGATGAAAGGGGTGGGGAAGAGGTAGAAAATATCATACCCATAATGAATCTAATTTCGATCATCTTAAAAAACTTGTTTTGGTATATACACAAATCCACAATCTCGAGCAACAATCTTGAATCTGTGCACCTTTCATAGATTAAATTCGTTTGTAATTGTTTTTTGATTATCCAAAACTAATTATTGTTTTGTTATTGTAACCTGGACAACATGGAGAAACGGTGGTGTGTGACATTTTTCACTCAACTTACCACATGTTTTAAGTTTGTTCAATCACATCCATTCACAGACAACTTTGTTTATGTATATTGATAGTGTGTTAATGATGTACAAAAAAAGATGTGCACCATGCACTTTTTAAATAAAGTTTTAAAAAGCATGATATACATCTTTTTGGACACCATTAGCACGAGTAACTCAGTTGTTTGAGTGGTGAAAAAATTGGAACATTGATCAAGGATCGAAACGCGCAACGGTCATGTGGAGGTTACAACTTCGACGTGCTGGGATGGACCTCTGGTGCACACGGATACAAGGGCCCTGTTTGGTAAATGGAGTTTCAGCCAAATTTTGGCGGATTTGACCAAGAATGGCGTTTTTAAGTGGTCAAACCGCTGAAAATAGGTGTTTGGGAGACATCTGGTTACATTGGCGTTTTGGCCCAATACGCTGAAAATTGAAACGCTGAGAAGTGAAGCGTTTAGGGATTAGCGATTAGGAATAAATGATCCATTCCCAACCGTACCCTTCCGTATTCTTCTTCTTCTCATACGGCAGACCTTTCCCTCTCCCAAGCAAAAGTCACCAGCTGCGCTCAGCAGACCTTTCCCTCTCGCAAGGCCTTGTTCGCCTCTGTGAAGAAAAGAATCGCCAGGCCAGGTACATATTTATAAACCTTCCCTATCTTATGCCATGATTTCAAACACAAAAATGGGTATCTTTTTGGCATTACGTATACTGCATACCAAAAATCATCTTCTTTTCTCACAAAGCTATACTACGTATCCTCACAAAGCTATACTACATATCCTGTATACTGCATACCACAAAGCCATGATGTCAATTCCGTATTTTATTTTATTTTATTTTATTATGTAGTATAAATTAAATGAAATAGAAAACAAAGAGCATATACAGAATAGTAAAGAATGATGATTTTTGAGTCCTTGCTTATGCTGTTGGTTTTTATTTTATACCTTGTTTTTTTGTTTCTTTTTCAATAAAAATTAGGTATATGATTTGAATATGTTTCTATTGTTTTTAAAAGTTATAAATATGAACTTCTGATTATTTCAGTGTATTTTTATGGGTTTAGGTGCATCATTCAACATTTTGAATTGGTTGGATTGGTTGATTTAGGTGCATCATTCATCATTTAATTTAGCTTGTATTGATTGTAATATATATATATATATACTACGTATTAAATTAGTTGGGTGTTAGTTATCTTTTTTAATTTATGATTTTAAATTTGTTTTTAAGCAGATATGGAAAACTCATGACTGGTATTAGTAATTGATAAATATTTTCACCAAATGTGGAAAACCCATGACTGGTATTAGTTACACTTTAATATGCATGCCACTTTATAAAATCTGGAGCTAAAGTAAAAAAAAATTGTTGATAACCAAACATGGAGCTAAAATTATGTGTGCTATGTGTTTTTTTTTTAATTTTGTGTGAGGACCAAGGGGTTGCAATCTCTGGAGCATAAAAGTCCTCATGGACTAACTACAAATTAAAAAGCTTCTGTCATATGCACATGCTGGGAAACTTACCAAAGTGCTAGGTTATCATCATGCAAAATATAGAGAATGATACCTCTGAGGGACAGGAGATACCTATTTCTATAGCCTAATTTATCAAGTAAAAGTACATAATGTAAAACTGCCTAGGGGATGAAAACGGAAAACAAGCGTGAAAGTTGAAAGTGCTATCTGCAGAACCCCACACTTTTGTGTTAGAGCAGTTTGAAATGAGCTATCAACACCATCTATAAGTAAAAAATTTAATTTCTACTTTGTTATACATCAAATTAGCAATTTCAGTTTTTGTTGCTTAATAGGTATTGACAATATAGCATTCTGAACTTTATAACTTTCACTTGAGAACACTTCATTATGCTTTTTAATGAAGTTACTACTATTTTAGACTAGCGTTAACCTTTGATTTAATGTTTAGATGGCCCGAACTACTCAAAAGAAAATTGTAGATGAAAGTCAAGGAACTTAAATGGAGGACAAGGATGAAGGTCAAGAAGGAAGGGTTAATTGGTCTAAGGAACTAGTTCATTTATTTTGTGATCTTTGTATTCAATACGTAGACATAAGTAAGGGGAAAAGTCGTGGAGTTGTGTCACAAAGATTGATGTGGAAGAAAATTGAATCAGAGTTTAAGAAAAAAAGTGGGTTACCTTGGGATAAGAAACAATTAAAAAATAAGATTGATGGGATGAGAAATAGACGGGCTTTATGGAAGCAATTGAAATCCAAAGCTACCGGATTGGGGTGGGATCATTTAAAGGGAACTATCAGTGCTACTGATGAATGGTGGTCATTGAGAATTGAGGTTAGTATCATTTTAGTTAAACTTACATTTTTTTGGTTTTTAGTTCATATACTTAGAGTACGGTGATTAAATTGTACTACTTATGCATCTTTTATTATAGGAGAATTCAAAAATATACTTAGTGAACAATCCAAGCCTTAATTTTCCGAAACCACCAACCGGTAGGTACCTAATTCATAAATTTATTTCTTCTTATATATCATATATGGTCTAGAAATTAAATTATAATATTATTTGTTCCATTATTTTCTTAGGAAAGTATTACTTGGTTGATAAAGGCTATCCAGAAAGATATGGGTATTTGACGTCGTACCCTAAGACACGATACCATCAATCGGAGTTTCGTGGATCACGACCAAGAGGTTCACGAGAAGTATTTAATCAAGCACATTCATCCTTAAGAAGTTGTATCGAGAGAGCATTTGGTGTTCTTAAAGCTCGATGGAAGATATTACAAATAATGCCAAAGTATTCATTGGTCGATCAAAATAGGATCATATGCTCATATTTTGCATTACACAACTACATAAGAAAAAGCAAACTTGATCCAGCTTTTGATTTCATTGATGAAGATCCGGAATTCATACCTCCCGATGTTATTCCAGATGTTCAAGCTAATTCTGCACAAGGTGACTATCAAATGACAAATCATCAGATGACGATTATTCGTGATAACATTGCTTCAAGTTTGATGGCATAAACACTTTGTTCTTAAACTATCACAAATTTTGTTCTTATTATCGGTGTAGTGAATTTATGAATTTTAATTATTATATTTTCATTTAATTCATGGGTGCTAATTATTGGTGTTTATTTATTATTTGTTCTAATTATTATTGTTCGTATTTGTTGTTATTTTTTATAAAATCATATTAAACAACAAAGAAAGAAATATTGAATTGTGATAATGTCCTTTTTTGTCATTTTATCTACTAACCGCTAAAAGCAAACAGCTAAGTTACCAAACATCTTTGTGTAACCCGCCAAACTGATCCGCCGGTCAAACCCGCGACTCAATCCGCTGTTTACAACCCGCTGACTCAATCCGCTAACCGCCGATTGCCAAAAGGGCCAAGGTCTATCACCTTTGGATCGATTGAGCCACCGTGACTTACAACATTCAAAAAAGTCTTGTCGGATCGGGGCTTGAGGAACTTGAGGATTCAACCTTTTTGAACATTTAAATAAAGTTTAAAGAGTATCCTATGTGTCTATTGGAGGGCAATTTCGACATTGAGCAAAATAGAAGCAGAGATCTTGATTCTTGAATGGGTAAATCGGTAATATGCGCACATGTTGAATGGTACTCCGCAAAGAGTAAAGTCAGTACTCGCCCACTACTGATATAAAAACAAACACCACTGACCATTTTTGCTCTGCACCTTGATCGTCGCACGACTTCAAAATCCTCCAAAACCGAGATTCTCTCTTTCTTCTCCGATTTTCCCACCACCATGGCCATGGCTTTTAAGATGGTTTGTACCTTCCATCGATCGGAATATTCCTTGAACTTATTGTTATATGATGATGATTATACAGATAAATTTGTATGTATATAACAGGCGACTACAGGGATGTTCTTAACCGATGAATGCAAAAACTCTTTCATGGAGATGAAGTGGAAAAAGGTGCACAGGTACATAGTTTTCAAAATTGAGGAGAAGTCTCGGCAGGTCACCGTCGACAAGGTCGGCGCAGCCGGCGAGGGCTATGATGATCTCGCCGCCTCCCTCCCCAAAGACGACTGCCGGTACGCGGTGTTCGATTTCGACTTCGTCACCGTCGATAATTGCCGGAAAAGCAAGATCTTCTTTATCGCATGGTACGAGTTCGCCGGGAGGATCAGTAACCGCCGGAAAATCAAGATTCTTCTTTTTTCCCCTGATTTTGAATTGAGATATGTTTGAATTAATGAATGATAAATGCAGGTGCCCGTCGGAATCGAGAATCAGAGCGAAAATTCTGTACGCGACGTCGAAAGACGGGCTGAGGAGAGCGCTGGACGGAATATCCTATGAAGTTCAGGCGACCGACCCGACGGAGATGGGAATGGATGTGATTGAGGAGAGGGTCAAATGAGCTAAAGAAAAAGGTCAAATCCTGTTTTGGCTTTCTAAAGGGCAATGATTAATTTTAAGGCTAATAATTCCCCACTAAGTGCAGCTGTAATTTTGTTGCCCACTGTCTTTGTGGATCTGGTAGTGTTTCATTTCTGCTAATGGTTTCTGTAACAGTAAGATGTTCTCTAATGGTGATGATCAACTTCTTCGTTTGACCTAATTTAGTCCTACAAGTAAACCTTTCCTCTTCCTTTTTGCGTTTCACTAAAGAGAAAAAGTGGTATTGACCAAAAAATATACAATTGAAGTATAACGTGTTGGTGTCGTTTAAAAAATAATTAATGCTCTTGTAATACGAAGTATCATACTTCGTACTTCTTATTTCTTACTCCGTATTTATTTATTTATTTAAAGCCTAAATAAGTGGTCTTACTTGTATGGAAAAAAAATTAAATTCTATAAACGACATGTTTCAAGTTGCTGAAATTTGAGTGAAGTGCCAGGTACGAAACCTTTGTGTATTTCATATTTTCATTCAAGATAATTAAATACTAACCTTTGTGAGTGTTTTTTCATATATTCATTCATCTCTCGATGAAGATTGGTATTCAGGCAAAGTATGAATTTGATCACTAATGAGTGTTTGGAATTCATTCAGTTTCACAAAAAAAGGTTTCTAGAAACAATTTAAATACATGGAAAAAAATTTCATTTTCAATCACACTCTAATATTTGATTTTGCTCCATGAAAGAGCATAAATAGTTTCAATAAGTAAATCCAAACATGTGTTAATTTTCATTACATCTCACTCTTACAAATTTAATGAATGAAAATTATAAACTGTTGTTCCAGAAACATATTTATAGACATTCTCTTCAAAGAAATGTAAAAATTGTACGCAGTACTACGTAGTTGGTTTGGCAAATATGGCAAATACGAAATTGTCTAATAAATTATGGTTGAAATTGTTGAATTTTTTGCTACATTCATTGATAAAATATATTTACATTTGATGAAGTTAATCCATACTTATTTTGAATATGATATAATTCAACACGTGAAATTATATATTTACTCGTAATATTTAGTAAGAAAAGACGATTTTTTTAAAAATCAAATAACTAATTTATTACTAAGCGATAACAAAAATACAAGAGAATCAATAGTCTGAAGCTACAATGGGATGAGACATAGAACGGAATAGATTTAATGAATCCTTCCAGATCGCTAATCCCGCAATAATATAGTCTAGTCTAACAGCCTTGATCTACTTGCTACTCCAAAGAGAAATTAAAAAATTATAACTAATAGATCCGGTCGGCTTCACCAGCCACCGGAAAGGGAGAATTGGTTTGACCAGCAACCAACAAAGGGAAACCAGTCGAGTAGAAATTTCTTGAAATATCGGTTTGACCAGCCACCGAAAAGGAGATCCGCTTGATCATCTTCTTCTTCCCAGAGTGAGGCGGTGGTTCAGGTGGTGGGCGAGTATTTGAAGCATCAGAACAACAAGGTTGAAAAAGCTTCACCAAATCGATTACACCGATTAGAAACGCACAGCCTCTAGACATTATTAGGAGAATAACACACCACGCGCTCACATGAAGCGGACAAAATTCTCGGCCAATGAAGAAGACGGACCACATTCCTTGAAAACAGAAATTGAAAAAAAGCAAAACATAGAAAAACTTTTGATTCGATCTTTCATTGCATATAGAATGTCTTCGTCTTCCAAAATCGGATCTTGAAGGGGGTGGGAGATGGCCGCCTAAGGTTTCCTCTAGGTCCGGCTCTCTCTCACGCGACTTTTAAGAGTTAAAACGATATCAAATCTAGTAAAAAAAGACGATTAAAATGGCAAACTGAGACAATGGGGTTACCATTTACCAATCAAAGCTTCAGAGATCAAACATTTCGCACAGAAATATAATGAGCCCATAATGATTTTGGATTGATGTTTATCATTATGTGCTGGAGGAAATCTTAAGAAATGAGGAAGCCGACAAGGCATATCAAACACAAATATATGCATAATTGTGATAATATATCTAATATGCGATTTAGTTGGATAAACATCAGATTGAGTCATTCAGTCTTTACTTGTTACCTGTGATAAATAAAAAACAAAAATTCCTTTTGTACACGTTTTTGTATCCATCAGTACACGCATGTGTTTGTGAGAGTTTTTTTTTGTCTGTGAAGTGCGGTCCACAGACAAAAGCTGGTTTGTTTTGTCTGTGAAATTTTCTACAGACAAAACAAACGAACTTATGTCTGTGGACCGCGCTTCACAGACAAAAAAAAACTCTCACAGACACATGCGTGTACTGATGGGTACAAAAACGTGTACACCAAGAATGGTTGAATAAAAAAAAAGATTGTTAAACAGCGTAAGTTAAGTCAATGGCATCACTTTTGGACAATAACTAAGTAGCTGCCGAAAGTTGGTAGGGGTGACACGCCACCCCACCAGTCTGATCGAGGGAATTACGGTACCAAACTACTCGTACAAAAACTACAAAAATGTTTATCTATATAAACAAAGTTGTTTACATATAGACAAATAATGTACGAGTTTTTGTATACAAACAACTTTACCTATGGATACAAAATTGTTTATATACAAACAAATTTACCTATGTATAAAAAAGATGCATCAAATATTTTTGTATACAGGTAAATTTGTTTACCTACGTATAAAATATTTTTTATACATAGGCAAATTTGTTTGTATCAATGCATATATCAACACTTTGTAACAATCTACTGACCTGGTTAAATAATCAAATTATTAATATTCATAACACAAATATCAATGACATATCTTCATTTTGTAATCAAATATTGACCTGATTAATCGTGTGCACAAAGCTTCATATCATATTGTCACGCCCAATAAGAATTCAAATTTCTCCAGCTTTTTGAACATACTTTTAACATCACTTTTTGACGAATAACCAAAACAAACTTTTCCCAATTTAATCAAAGCTTCTCTTATTTGGGGAGTTTGGATTACAATTACTTTCACACTTTTAGACGGTATTCCCAACGTGTGGAGGACAATGGTTTCAATGTAAAACCATCTACATTCTTTCAAATATTTTGTACGTAGGTAAACATTTTTGATTGAGCATAAGCAATACAAATATACTTCTACAGTACTACCTATCAAAACATTTACAAAGTAAAATTGGAATACCGTGTTCATGGAAAGTATTCGAATCCTATAACAGAATTTCAATTCGCCAACTTGTTTGAGCCAATTAGATGTCTTTTATCCCCTAGGTCAAAATTGACTCCGAATCGGTTCTTGATTTGAGCATGTTTTAATTGGATTGAATTTTCTGATAACATGTTCTAGCATGTTCTGATCTAGTCTAAATTGTTCTGATATATGTTCATTCTATGTGCATTTTACAATTATTGAAGTCTGATCTGATCTAATCTGGTCTCAGACTGAAATCAGTTCAATTAAAAATATTTTGAGATCGATTTGTAAGCCTATAGTTTTAGCTAAAAAAATTGATCTAAACCGGTTCATTTTGCCACTACATGAAAATAATGAAGGAAAATAAATAATACGGACTGCTTGACCACATGTAAACCCACTTTCCCGAAAATCTGAAATCTAAATTTCAAGGGAAAGTAACACTTTTTAGGGAAATGATGGATTCTGCTTGCTTAGAAGCATTGTTTCTCTCTTTTGATCTCTACGGTTTTCCGCATGGACTTCCTCGGGTGGGGTCATGGCTCCCCACATTCTTTTACACAAGGGTCACCTCATTTTCAATTAGGAAAAAAACTATTTCTCTTTTTTGTACACACAATCTTAAACATGTATGTGAGTAGCTATTTTTGTTTATGAATAACATGTTCATAGACGAAACATGATTTGTATGTGAAAAGGCTATTCACAAACAAAAACAGCTGCTTACAAACGTGTATAAAATGACGTGAACAAAAACAATTCTACCAAAAGAATTTTCGTTCATCATTCGGTCTACCAGACCACCTCAATATGTCCTATACCCCTCTCCCTAATACTCCGTATTAGGGAGTGTTTGCGATTGCTTGTGGTTTTCAAAAGTGATTTTTTTAATAGATAATTGGAAAAGTGGTTTATAGTAAAAGTTGGTAGTGTTTGAGAATAGAAGTGATTTTAATTAAAATGTAAAAGTTGGAGTGTTTGATAAAAAAGTGATTATGATGGAATAATTTTTTCAAAAGTACAAAATAACCCTTTAAACTTTTGGACATAGGGAGGTATACGAATAAAGTTGGGGGGGTTAGGGGATTTTTTTGCCATTATTATTAGTCATAAAGTTGGAGGTAATTACAAGTTTACCTAGAAGCTATTAGAAGTTGGTATGCTCTAGCTTTTAGATTTTGACTTTAAAGCATTTTTTTTAAGCAAAAGTTAGGATTACTAAACACCTTTTTTGGCTTTTTTTAATCTAAAAGCTCTAAAGCACTTTTTTTAAGCAAAGGAAAACACTCCCTTAGTTTCTGAATCTGCCCATGGGGTTGAACTAACATAAATTTCAGCCATGAGTATATAGATTACCGATTACCACCAATAAGAAAGCTTAACCCGGGTTCTTTCATCGACTTCTTTCCCGCCATATTCAACCTCAAGGCTTCAGCATCTTGAAAGCGCCCAACAGATTTATAAAGATTTGACAGGATAACCATATCCTCTCCACGGTCTGACTCGCCCAATCTATCCAACCTTCTTGCAGCAACCTCGGCCAATTTCATATCATCATGAAGCATACACCCATTTAACAAAGCCTTCCAAGCATTTCGATCTCTTCCGTCCATTAACTCACTGGCATCAGACAAGTAACCGGCTCGAGACAGCAAATCAACAAGACATCCATAGTGCTCCTCAGAAACTCTTAAATTTTCTTCCTCAAGCATCTTACTGAAAATAATCAAACCCTCGTTTATCATGTCTGCACGGCTACAAGCACTCATAACACATAGGTAAGTGGCGGAATCAGGGATTCCTCCCAAATTCGTGAACTCAATAAAGAGTGATAGAGCAGTCTTTCCATGGCCATTGATCCCATACCCGTAAATCATTGCATTCCAAGAAATAATATCACAAAGAGAGGTCATATGCATAAAAACACTCCGGGCAAGTTCCACATCCCCACACTTTGAGTAAACTGATATGAGACAATTTTGCACACATCTGTAGAGTGTAAATCCAGATTGGAAAGCATAGCAGTGGAGCTGCATGCAGAAGTCTAATGCACCTAATTCACCTGCTGCAGCTAATGCATTTACCAAAAGTATCTTATCGGCATATAAGTTTTCTTTTTTTCTTGCACCAATGAACAAGTCAAGTGCTTCCCTAGGCCTTCTATTGATCAGAAGCCCATAAATCATACTTGTCCATGAAACGACATTCTTCACAGTTGTTTGGTCAAAAAGTAATGTACAAGAATCAAGGTCTGCACATCTTGCATACATTGATATCATGGAATTAGTCAGTTG